TAAAAAAGTAAATCAGAGCTAAAAAAGTGCAAAAATGCAGGCAAATTTGTCTGCGTTGGTCTACATATTAAGGGATAATATAGACCAGTTTCATCAGTATTATAAATATCTTCAGGCTTATATTGTAAAAGTAATTTGACCAACTTTTGTCTTTGATCAAAAAGGTTTTCTACAGGCACACTTTCAGATTTCCTATGAAATTTATATTTTTTAAGGTCGTTCCTTTTTTTGAACCTATTTACCCAACCATGACTTGTCTTAAAATCAGCATCAAGTATGCCTAATAATCCTGCAAATTTTTTGGCTTAAATTTGTAAAATTCCATCCATTAGTATTCTATTTTGTGAAAGAACCCATTTTGTCCAAACAATCATAGCATTTTCTAAATCTGTAAATTTTGCTAATCAATTAACTTTTTTTTTTTTCTTCAGGCTCTGTTAGCTGTATAGACAACTATTTGTCTTTTTCCTTCAAGATTTTTGATATTGTAATTTGGTCACAACTATATTCTTCTGAAAGTTGATCAATAGTAAAAAACAAGTCATCATGTTTTTGTTAACATATTTCTTATTTTGTTTTTATTGACATGGGCATTCTTTTTTTTTGTGGTTGCTCTAGTATTTTATTTATTTATTTTTTTAATTATAGAAGAATTAAAAGTATAAAAATTATTTGGTAAAAGCAAAAGCTTCTTATACTATTTACTTTACTTTTGATATTATACTTGTGATATTTATTATAGCAATAACCCTTTTTTTTTTTCTTTTTTTCATATGTTTATATGTTAAAGAGAGCTTTTAAAAAGGAATTACAGCTAGACTTCCCTAAATGCAACTCTTTGAAGTATAGTATCTTTCTGAATACGATCTTTAACTCTTGCCCAAATATATATCAGACTTTAACGATATAATTTTTTTTATTGTTTTATTAATGCAAGTTGTCAAAGTCTAATCCCTATGAGTTGTATTTAGAGAAAGCTAACTATACTATTGCATATATTCTTTGTTTCTTTTGCCACTAAATATTCCTTAAAATTATGTATTTTTTCTTTTATTTTGCATATTATTAACATATTAACTTTTTTTTTAAATTACAGGTTTCATGATATTGGTTATGGGAAGCTATATCAAAAAGAGAATATATATGCAAATAGGCATATATCAGGAAAATTTTAAATTGGTTGGCAATTAATTGACAGAAAGAAATATCAATTGATAAGCAGTATTTCAAGTGATATTGATTAAAATCAATTAACAAAAAAGCTAATTAAAAATTAATTAGAATCATTTTGATTGAAATTAATTAATATTAAAACTGAATTAAAATCGATTGTGTATCGACTAGCTACAATATCAATTATTGTCAATTTTTTTAATTGATAGTAGCTGTCTCTGCAGCTGGTAATCAATATTAACTCTATTTAAATTTTCTGATGATGGTACCTGATAAAATTGCAGGTTCCATGGTATTGGTGTATCAAAAAGAGAATATGCATACAGGCAGGCATACATGGTACCTGAATGAAATTACAGATTTCATAGTATTGATATCAAAAAGAGAATATACATATAGACATACATTGTACCTGAATGAAATTATCAGGATCGTGAGAATTTTTTTACTTTTGTACAGAAAATTGGCATTTATTCATGCAGTTTGGGATAGCACAAAACCAAAGTTGACAAATAGAAGGTATATTAAAGTACGAGAAGAATTTGTGAAGGATAATTAATATGATTAATTTTAATGTGATTTGCTAATTAACCCTATAATAATATTTTTATACAGTAGATACTTGACCTTCTTGAATAAATAAGCTATGAGTTTTTTATGCTGATCGATAATTTTCAATTCTGTTTATTATCATTTAATTCATCTTTTGTAATATTATCATTGTCAAAAACAATTGAATTAATTGTTATTAAAAAAAGTTGTATATAGTCAGATGATATGCAAATGTTCTTCCATATCATTTTTTCAATTATTGGATAATTTGAATTTTACTAAACCTTTATTTGAAAATTATTAATAATAAGGCAAAAATACATTAGCAACCCGTCTCCATGTGACCCTAAATGATCGACCAATCAAATTTGAGATCAATGATTATCAATTTTGCTCCCCAAAAATTTTTTTTTGAATTTTTTTTTTTTTTTTTAGTTTATACACCTATATTTAATACAAATACTTTATTTTTTTA